AGAAATTTTGGAATAGTGATTGATGTGAGAATGTGTGGTGGAAAAGTGATGAAAAGTTTTTGATTTGTGTGTAATATTATTTTATTAGGAGAATGTGTGGTTGAAATGAAGAATGAGAATGAGAATGAGAAATAGAAAGAGAAATTAATGGGTGTCAAACGGGGGCTAAATGTTACCGGACAAGTAATGTGACAAGTTGAATTGCTCTCTTTTATGTCAAATCAACAAAGTTGGTTTATCTGTCGAATTTACGTCCAAAATGTGAGCATGGCATTTTCAATTGCGTAAGGTTAGGTGAAATAAATTGATGGCTAAATTGGTAATTCACTCTTCAAAGTCGTGGGTCAAAATTGAAAATGGGAATTCAGGTCCACAAGGAGTGTCATGATCGTTTCTTGAAATTGTCATTTTGATAATTATTTTAATATAAACTCTCAAAGTTAAACCATTAAAATTCGATTTTAATTTATGCCGAACAAGCGCTAAATATATTTACTACGTAGGGCTAAACAAAAATTGGATAAAAATAAAGAGTAGATGGATATAAACATTTGTTAGTCTTTAAAAATTCTAATATATTTGCCGTAAAAGCTGAAAAAGTCTTTATTAGTCTCTTGCCACTTTCTAGATAAACTATTAATTAAGCATTTATTTTATTAAGAAAACTAAGTCTGTCCAGTTCCATAAGAGCACGGAAAATAATTGATCTTTAAATCTTAATAATTGACAATAAGTGGGGGTGGCAAGCACTTCATTTGCCATTGTGTCATGCACAACAAATTTGGTATTGTGACTAAGCTCACATACTCCACTATCATCATATATAATTTTAATAATGCGAGTTCTTAGGACTTGCTTAGTATGGTTTTTGAAACATCAAACGATACCCCTGAAACTACAAAACTGTTTTTGAACATGTTTAGATAATTTTTTAGAAGCGTTTTATCTGTCTAGAAACGTTTTTAGAGAAAATTGATTTAAAATAATTTTCTTAGAAAGCTCTTCTGCAGAAAGTAGAAATTATGTCAGATGGATCTTGAAAGTATTATGTATGGCCTTACGTATGCAACCAATTGTCAAATTTAGAGTGATACTTTCTTTAAAAAGGATCCCGACCAAAAAGCATTAATGAGTACTATTAAGTTCAGACGGTGTGGTGTGTTTGTCCTTTCTTATCGAAATTGTACACTAAACATAATCATCGAACAAGATGTTACATCTTACTAGATATAATGAAAATTATTACAATCCAACATCGATAAGATCGTGTATTTTTGGTGTGATTCTTTTTTATATACATAATAAATTGACCTATAATTGACCAATAGAGTTTAAAGAATGATTGCAAGATAAAGACTTGATCAATTATACTTTTAATTTACGGTGTCAACAAGTCCACGACGAGGGTCACTTTCAAAATGTCGTGCAATGATAAAGGTATGCTAGGTTTTGGAATAGGATTAGTGCAATTGTCCTAATTGTCAATTTCCAATATTTAACATTTTCAATTCATCCCCACATGATTGCAAGATTACAACCATGGCTACCTAACAAATTATTCGCCTCATGGTCACAAGACGCGTTTACTATATATTATATCGCATGTAAAGTTTGATTTTTAGTTTCTATTAACTTTTCGTATCAAATGTATCATAATAATTTTGACTACTTTAATCTTCATTGTCATGATTTTCTTTACTTGGATGCAATTGACTAGTCGTGTTCTAGAAGAAAAAATGGTAGATTTCATTCTTCGTAAGTTTTTTCTTTTCTTTTTTTCAATTTATGTACGAAACTCTGAAATATTTGATCACGATTCTAAAAGAAATTTGTGAAGTCGAGATATTTGATTATAAAATAGTTTGTATATGCAACAATTGTAGTTGTCATACAATTTATTTCCACTGGTAGGTGAAAGGTTAGTTTCATCATTCAATTGATAAAGTTTCTAAGAAATCCCAAGTTTCATCATTTCCTTGTTTGCATGAGTAGGTGGTATGCGTCTCTCGTTTTAGTACTTGAGTTTCTCTCCTACAAGCCTAGTGACGATATTGTCGTGACAAAATAATTATAGGGTTTTTTCATTTGTACCGAAAATGGATGGCAACGAGTTTGACAACCTCGTACATGAGTACAGGGCCCGTGTGAATAAAAAATTTTACAAAAATGTGGGCCCTCCTCTTGTGAGTGTTTAGTCAAAGTGTTTATCAACAATTTTCGGTAAATGTAGCATTTCTCATAATTATATTATGAAAAATATAGAGAAAAAAGTAAAGATTACAAAATTTTTCTATCCTTAAATTGTAAATTTGATGGTTATATTTTAGGATAAGTAATAGCATTTTCAAACTTTGTGAAAAATAAATAAAAATACAAAAATGAATTTGTGAATAGATATGATTGTAAAAAATATATACTTATAATCCCATCCACCTATATCAATACACTCGAATTTCTTGTATTACAAGAAAAACGACACTTCAATCAATATGATACGATTCAAAAAACCCAGAAATCATTTGACATATCTTTTGAGACTTTAAAATTGCTTATTAATATGATTGAACTGTAAGCAAAAACCGCCAAACCGAAAAATCGCACCGAAATCGCAATTTCGAAACCGGCGGTTTGGTGCCACGTGGACCCGTCAACGAAATGGTTTTGAACCAAACCAAACCGGTCAAAAACGGTTTGGTTTAGGTTTGAAAATTTTAATTATGGTTTGAAACCAAACCGGACCGGCGAAAAATATATAAAATAAAAAAATAAAAAATTGATTTTTTTTGAAAATTTATTCAAAATTTCAATTTTGTAAAATTGAATAATTTTGTCATTTTGTAGGTATTTTTGTCAATTTCTAATTTTCTATTAATTATTAAGATTTA